TAGCGACAGAAACTGCGGGGAACTCTGCAAAAAACGCATCTTCGCACGGGCAGCCCGTGCGTTGGCTATTTATTTGCGCTGTTAACGACTCAGTCTCTTTGTACGTTTTAACTGCTCTTCTTTGTTTCGGATTTCAGAAGTGTTTGCAATATGCATCTGTCAAAAATCAGAATCCCGGCTGCAACGCGCCAAGTTTGCTGGTGCAGTCATGCGTTTCTACACTAAACTTGCAGTATTTAGACTGTTAACAGCGCGTATGGCTCCTGCTTTGTGGTTTTGCACGCCGACTCATGTTGGTTGTGGTTTGACCTTTACCTCCATATAGCGGGAAGAGGGCGTCGACTGCGCTTTCGATATTGCATCATAGGGCCACATGAACCTGCAGCGTTCATGACTTTCAATTCTGTGTGAAACCGGGCGCGTCAGGGTCTACCATCGAAAACGCAGTTTCGACAATGTGTATGATGCCGGAAAAAAAAGCTTCCGAAACCAGCAAAATGCACTCGCTTTTGAGCCTACAATAAAATTGAGTATTTATCGTGCTCTGTGTTGAATTAAAACCAAAGTTCAGTGTGGAATATCCTCGCGAAGTTTCAGCTTCGCAGCTTGTTTGGTAAGTGAAATCATTTTTTCGCTTCAAGTCAAAGACGTGCCTAAAGCATGGCCCAACATAAGTAAGCTATGAAGGGAGCGTGAAAGTTGCTTTCACATTCACCTGACCAAACGCCACCATTGCTTAGAAATTTCAGCCCCTTAGCTGCTCTAGTTTCGGAGCTACAAATTTGGTGGAAAAGCAATTTCGGGAGCCAGGGAGCTTGGAAGCTGGAATTTTCTGAGGATATGACAATGCGTAACTGAAACATTTGAAATTCATTTTTTTTACGCTAATCCAGCTTCTTGTGTGAACAGGTGACACTTCCAGTCCACTGTACAGACATTTTAGATGAGCAGTTGTAACGGTGTTACCATTCTATTCTCTCGATATTCATAAAAGCAAGAAAATACTGCTTGATTCTGAAGGGGAATTACTGGAGAAAAACTTAATAGTAGCTTTCACGCATCCCAATTTCTTGCACAGAAATCAGCAATTTTCAGGCTAAAAAAGCATAGTCGAGTTGGACCTGATGCGCATTGCCACTCTATTTAATCACTGGGACACGAAATAATTATACTACGTAAAATCTGCATATTCACAGATCTGAATTCTGAAAAAAATGTTCCTTGCAAAAATTTGCTTATTTCAGCACCATAGAAAAAGAATTATTTGTTTTGTTCAGGGACAGTTGAATATTTGCTTGAGCTATTGTACGGCTGCATGAAGTTGTGAGTTGGCTATTTTGAGAAGGATGTCGGATAAAGAAGGCCTTGAGCGGGGCTTGGAAGAAGGATGCAAGAGTTATTTCTGGTATTTCGTTGCCAGTTTTGGCTACACAGTGTTCATTGTTTTAGCCATCCTCATTTATCTGACAATGTATTCCGATCACTTCATGTGGGCACTCCGCAGAAAACCGAAACTGGTTCGTGTGCAGATATTTTTACAGTTTATCGACTAATTACTTTTTATCCAATTTTTCTGACCGGTACTAAATCCAACTCTGGTTCAGAAGGCAGGTGCTTACCGGAAGCACTATAAACATTGAATCCTCCGCCTGTATATCCCTTTATTATCAACCGAGCCAGCGACTAGTCTTCGAAATTTGCGGAATATCCCTAAATTGTCACAAAAAAGAATGCGCTATATACTGCTTTCTAAATGGCAGTCAGAAAGATGTTCCGCACTGCCCGCAGAAGGCTCCCAAAAAAGGAG